GCTGCTCAGTGCTCACCTGTGCCATCGTCGTCCTCTGAAGTCTTCTGGGGTACAGGTGCTCTGAACGACAGGCGCTCTGAACGACAGGCGCTCTGAACGACAGGCGCTCTGAACGGGCACAGGCGCTCTGAACGACAGGTGCTCTGAACGACAGGCGCTCTGAAGGGCAGGCGCTCTGAACGACAGGTGCTCTGAACGACAGGCGCTCTGAACAACAGGCGCTCTGAAGGGCAGGTGCTCTGAACGGCAGGTGCTCTGAACGACAGGCGCTCTGAACGACAGGTGCTCTGAACGGCAGGTGCTCTGAAGGGCTCTGAACGACAGGCGCTCTGAACGGCAGGGCAAGGTCTGAAGGGCAGGTGCTCTGAACAGGTGCTCTGAACGGTGCTCTGAAGGGCAGGGCTCTGAAGGGCAGGTCTGAACTGAACGACAGGAGCTCTGAAGGGCAGGTGCTCTGAACGACAGGTGCTCTGAACGGCAGGCGCTCTGAACGACAGGTGCTCTGAACGGGTGCAAGGGCTGCTCTGAACGACAGGTGCTCTGAAGGGCAGGTGAACTGAACGGCAGGTGATCTGAAGGGCAGGCGCTCTGAACGACAGGCGCTCTGAAGGGCAGGTGCTCTGAACGGCAGGCGCTCTGAAGAGGCTCTGAGGAAGCAGACAGGCTGCTGTCTTTTATAGGGGCGTTGGTTGTTGGAGGAAGTACAAATCATGACTTTATAAGGACATTTTCTTTGACTCAGACAAACTTCGTTGATTGAAAAGGATCAAATAAATTTAAATAAGTAGCAGAAATGGCAAGAGACTGATGTGAAATAAGGCAGAAGTATATAAATGTATATGTACAAGTCAAATTAAAATATAGAAATATAGTCATTAAAATATATGTCAGTTATACAGAAGAGGTCGAAAGGAAAACGGTGCAAAGATGATATGATGATTGGCAGGACACAGGTGTTATATAAGGAAGAGTTGTTGTACATTTGTACGGTTTATAATCTACAGATTATTTAAACATTTCCACAGAAATCAGTGAGTCACGTCAGACACTGTTTCAGGGTCTGAGCGACCAACAAAAACGGGAAGCAGCACAATGACACACCCTGGTGTTTAAAACATATATATCATCATAATATATCATCATAATATATAATCATAATATAAAATATCACCATAATATCTCACAATAAAGAATCACCCATCAGCAGCAGCAGTGTCTCATCCCTGATAACCAGAACTTTTTTCAGTTTTGAAGCATTTCTCTGCTGAAATTTTATGTTTGTGAAACAGCTCAAACAAAATAAGGTCTGCAAAATTCACTTTTTCATTTAAAACTGATCATCACTCAGTCGTCCTCCAGAAACACGTGTCACAGTGAAGTGTAGTGCTGCTGTGTGTTGTGATCTCAGGGACCTGCAGACTCTGGGGTTTAGTGTCTGACTCTGGGCTTCACACTTTACACTGGTGAATTTGAGGCTGGATCCAGTCCGTATTTTTATGTTAGTAAAATAATTTATAGGAGATTTTGCAGTGTGTGATCAAAAATATGCTGAGAAAAGCTTTTCTTGCACACACTTTCGACATTTCATGAAAATAGGAAGTGAGACACATATGACATTTGCGACATAGCTCAAGGCCCTGGTCTTTTTTCTGTCTGGTGGTATGAAACGCCTTAGCAAAAGTTAAACATAGTTCTCATGAACAACAATTCTACAATTGTAAAAAAGCCTTTTGGTGAATGTAACACGGTGGTCGGTGGTTAATGTTATTTCCAGTTGCGGTGTGTCCGTGAACGCAGCGCTTTGTGTGGCGCTCCTGGCTTCACTCATTAGAAACTAGAAAAAGGTGCACACCTTTGTGTTTTTGTCGGGGTTTCTGCAGGTAGTAGCAGGCGGCGTGTTGTGCGGCGTTGGCAGTGGTAACAGCAGCCGCCCTGTGTCCCAAGCCCCATGCTGGGCGCTGGTCCTTTGAAAAATGGAATCATATCATATTCAGAAACAAAAGTACGACTCCTGTAATGAGCTGAAAAGAGACGCACATTGTCCCGTAATACTGTGAGAATCAAATATAGTCAGTGGTGCTTTATAAGAAAATGTAGAGTAAACGTGTTCTCAGCCTCTCCTGCTCTGTGACCATTGAGCTGCACTCACATCCTGCTCGTGAGCTCACTGGTCGATGTTTCTTGTGCTGTGAAAA